GCAATGTTAAGCGACGTAACCTGCACTTTTTGTCAACGATAGCGTTGCCAGGCCCATTAAAGTGATGTCGTTGGATGATGACGACGACGATGACAATCGCGATGATGAGAATAAGGAAGATGACAATGATGACGAAGAGAGAGAAGATAATGACGAAAAGGATAGCGGGAGAGCATTTGTGGCTGATGTAAATCTCGAGATCCCAAGTTTCTGTGTGTGGTGAGATGTGGTGATGTGGCTGCTATGTTCATTCATAGAAAATTTTATTGTTTTTAGATCATTTTTAATTTTAAAGATGTTATAACCACGATTTTTATGCCCACAATTATACACTTGCATTTTGTTGAATTATTAAAATTAATAAAATGATAGAAAAAAAATGAATAGGCACAAAAATAAATGTAACCTACAATGACAACCTGGGTAGACATCTTTGGAGATTCTGAAGGTTCTTAACTTTTAGCAAATTCAAAAAACGAACAAGTTTGAATGAAAGTAGTAAGCAACCTAATTTTCAATATTTACAACGAATGCATTCATTCTGGTCGACTTCTTTCTTTATAAACCCGTGCGATCACCTGATTTCATTGTTATGCAAGTTAGCGTAAACAAGCGCACAGCACACGTTCCAAACGCTTTTTTTCATGATAGATCGAAAACAGTGAGTTTAAAAAATGTTTATACTTTGAAAGATTTTGTAGTTGTGTTTGATAATAATCTGTAGTTTGCTATATGGATAATGCAATTAAATTAGCGTATAAAATATCAGATGTCATATATGCAAATTTTATGCACATGAATTTAGAACTGTTTGAATGTTTAAATAGAAATCACTGATTCGGTCACATTTGGAATATGAGATTTATGTTTGGTATCTATGGAAATCGAAGGATATAGAAAAGTTTGAAGATGTTTGAATGCAAGAACGAGCATGCCTTCACAACTCCAAAAATATTTTGATTTATTTATAGTGAAATTTTTTACGCGAATATAACTGCGACTTGAAACTTTTCATTATGTAGGTACTTATTGTTCAGCGCTCCCGTATATTTCTAATTATAGGTATTCTGTTCATTTTTGTTAGGCATTTTAATGCGTTTTAATCAAAACTTGAAAAATTTCCACAAATATTGAAATGTTGCGTCATGTTCCAAACACAGTACCGAAGCAAATAAACAAACACAAAACCCAAACAACCACATAGACAAAAGAACGAACAAATAAACAGACAAACGAATAAACAAAAAAAACGATCAAATAAACAAATAAACACAAACTACGGAATTTTGGGCAGCACAAATGTTTATTTGTGTATAACCCCAATGCAGTTTTAAGTCGCGGTAACCGCACCGTATCCGTGGTTGCGGACAAGCATTCTTGAAATTGAACCTTCTCGAATATCATTAACTGGTAGAAAAAAGCATACAATTTTATTCGCTACACATGTAGTAGATGCAGTGGTGTACGAGACTTTAAAATGCGTCCTGGGTAAAACCCTGGTTTGCAATCCTTGACCGGAAATACTTAGTTAATTAATTTCTGTCAAAAATCAAACCTTTTCACTTCTCGGAGCGCTCTTTATTTTTATTATTAAAGATACTATTTATGATTTAAAACAGGTTAAATATATATCTTTAATTGTTTGTAAGAATTTTCCAAAACTTATACAAATTGAACACATATTCAAAGTTCACCGAATAATGAGTTAGGCCGCAGGCCGAATAGATGATCAACTATTTGACCGAAAGCCGAAAAATTCGCTGTTTCGAAAAAAATTTTGAATGAAAAACAAGCTATTGAAATACAGTCGACGAATTGCGTTATTCTAACGATTCTTTATCGAAATAATTTCAATCTCTTGTTGAAATTAAGGTATTTTAACAGCTATGATAGCCTAAATAAATTTTCCGCTGATATTCAACAACTATTGCTTTTGAAATCCAAAATAGTGATAGTTTAAACGAAAACTGTAACAATCAGCTATTCGGGATAAAAAAATAGTCGAAGACGAATGTCAAATTTGAGCCAAGCCGAGCATTCGGTGGGTTTCTAACATATATCTAACTTGATTCGATAGCAAAGCTATCTCCACCTATCACATGCAATGTACGTGATGCGCTGTTTCACGTTTATCAACAATCCCGTTGTAAGATAGAATTGAAAAATGTTATTACATGAAACACTTACTAAAGAGTGTTACTCTTATTGTTTGGTAATTTTTGCAATGCTTTTTTCAAAAAGCAGTTGCGGGCGGTAGGAAAAATCTAACTTACACAGGACTCTAAGCTATTGAAAATCTTCGAGGTCTTGGGACGCAAAAAAAGTGATTCGGCTATCACGTGTAAAACTTATTCAATTTTATAACGAATAAAATACAAAAATAAAAAATCGATAGCAAAAATCTAATAAAAAGTTTTATATATATATATATATATATATATATATATATATATATATATATATATAATTTAATTAATATATGGTGATTTAATTACGTAATAATGTTAAACGTTTGAAGATGTGTTGTACATATATGCATTGCTCTGCTCATATATGTATGTGCAGTGTACTCACGATCAGGCAATCATACTATGTATACTTACACTCGCATTTATATAAATATGTATATACACACATATATATATACACACATATATATATTATACATATAATTATATATATATATAATTAAAATAAATAGTGTCAAATGTTATTAAGAAAAAAATTCATTATTTATGTACAACTATAATTAAAAACAACAAATGTTGAGTTATTTATCCACCATGAAACCTAGTAACAAAACAACTACACAGTACACACGACGTACTCGTACAGTAGCACGTGCATGTAGACGTGTGTAATGTGCATATAATGTGTGATGCCAGCCAGTCAGCCATCCAACAAACATACGCCTCATCAGTGGAAAAATAAACTAATAAACACATTAAATAAATTAATAAACCAATCAATAAATAAATCAACAAGTTAACTAGCACGCAAATCAATCAATCAATCAGTCAATCAATCAACAAATCAATCAACCGTTCAACTTATTCTCCAAAGTTGAAAATACTAGAGGAATATGTTCGGTCCACTCCACACGTAGACACATGTATTTGCGTGTTGAATAGTATATGGATGAAAAAATAAAATTCATTAAATGCCTATATATATTTTACATGTCTATTTTCAACAAATAGCTTCATGATTCTTTAATTATATATAAATTATATATAATTATATATATATATATACATACATATATATATGTATATATATATATATATATATAAATATATATATATATAGATATATATGCAAATTTCATTGAAATTGTTTGCCCATTTCTGAAAACCTCGTTCCTAAATATATATATATATATATATATATATGTACATGTAAATATATATAATGAAATAAATAAAAATCAGCTTTCTAAGCAAAATAAAACAAATACTATTAAATAATTTAATACATTATAAAAATAAAACCATTTAATGTGGCCAAATTTCACTCCAATAATTAAAGTACGTACACTCACTCACATATACACACACACACACACACACACACACACATACACACACACAAAGAGTTTAAAACAAAAGACGCTAAACAGTCACATTTCATACAGGCATTCCTTGAGGCATCCATACATACCTACCTACCACAAACAAAATTTAGTTTGCAAGCATAATGATGTCTAGCTAAATATATCTTTCTCACCGTATATTAGTCACATACATACACATACACACACCAATACATACACATACACACACCAATACATACACATACACACACCAATACATACACATACACACACCAATACATACACATACACACACCAATACATACACATACACGGCAGTTGCACATATGTACGTTACATGTGTACGTATACAGTTATCCACCTACCTACAACTACACAACAAGAGCCCAGGCTCACAAATCTTTTTTTATTTACAGTAATCAACTGGCATTACACTTTATTTTTTACAAAATGAACATTATGTACACTTATTTACACAAACTATATAAGTACTATATACAGACATGCACTATTATATATATATAAGTATATTATATATATATATAAGTATATATATATATATATATATATATATATACATGCGTACAGTGTTGTATGAATTCTATCGAATTGTTGGCATTAATCAATTTAAAGTTTGTCTTTTCAATTTTCCTTACTAGAATTTACTGGAAATAGTTCAAGTTGTTGAAAAAAAAACGTTATTATCCAAGTTCATCATGAAAATCAAACAAACTGTTGTTATCCAAATTCATCATGGAGATAGGCCTTATTTCAATGAACTTGGATAATAATTCTATTTTCAATAAATTGAACAATTTTCTGAAAAATCTAGTAACGAAAATTGAAAAGACAAACTTTAAATTGATTAATGCCAACAATTCTGTAGAATTATTAATAAGGATGATGTTTCCAAAGACAAAAGGATATGCAATTAGTGAAGATGGAGCTGGCCCAATGTGCATCTCCTGTCTGCGCTCATCACTAACATACACCACAACCACCATCATCGTTGACGTCATCTCAACCATCGGCGTTAACATAGTTCATAATGACAGCCATCTTCATCGTCAGAAGTGGCCCACAATGAAATGCTAACAAATGGTCCTTCCACATCCGTCCGTCTCAAGAATTGATTGATTGGTTGTTATTTTTAGTGAGGAACAACAATGGATGGACAGGTGGCAAACTTGATTTAATTATTCAAATTATAAACAAAATGGTCTTCTAAAAAATTAAAATGAATGAATGAATGAATGATTGATTGATTGAATGAAAAACGAATAATATATAGAAATAGGAAAAATACAAAACTAAGAGATTTCAAAATGAACATTCAAACAGTAATTTACTTTAAAAACTGTTTTTTTTTGCATAATATTATTCACACGTTCTAACCAGTGCACATATATACATATAAACAATTAAAAAAACGAACCGATAAACTAAATAACAAACGGATGATTGAACGAACGATGACTTAAATTATCAATCTATTTATAAATTTAGCAAGAATGCAAGCTCATACGCACAACAACAGTTAGAATTGGAGTTTACAATTTATTAGCTGTATGTATCTTAAATTAAACTTTACCGACTAAACTTCTAAAAAAATTATTGATTGCATTGTATTACCAACATGACATTCACGATTGTAATATACTGAATACTCAAATAATTTAGTTAATTATTAGATTAATTAATTTAATTAATGCACAAAAGCTTCAAGGGTTAGATGATTCCGTGTTTTGTGTTTTGAACTTTTCACTTTCAACCAAACTGTTTCAGCTGTTTAGAAAACTACCTCAACGTGACAAACAGAGTTTAATTCCAATCATCGCCATCCTCCTCCTCCTCCTCATCGTCTTCTTCCTCCTCCTCTTCCGAATCGCTGTTATAGCTGATTCTTTTCCTTTTGCTTTTCTTTTTTTTGCTCTTGTTCTTCTTTGCAGAAGAGGACAAGGACGATGATGATCTGCTTGTGTTGCTGGGGTTTCGTGACTTGCGGGAAGCTGCTTTGCTGCTACTGCTGCCGCCACTGCTGCTGTTTATATTGCTGCCGTAGCTGTTGCTGCTGTGATTTGCTTTTCGAGGTGTCGTCGTTAATGGCTTCATCTGCAGGCAATCAAATTAAAATATTTTAATAGGGGATTTGATAATTCGCTAGTCATTGCTAAGTAACTTTAATGATATTCGGCACGCAGAGAAATCTCGTCAACAAAACGAACCATCTGTCCATTGGAGGAAGGCTGTACAAATGTGTTGTTGTTGTTGTTGCTAGTGGTGGTCGTGCCGTCCAGGTTGCCCGGGTTGCCGGAAGAAGTAGCAGCACGACTTGTGGATGTGGTAGTTGTCGTGCCAGCTGCTGCTTCGTTATCATCCAAATCATCCTTGTCTATGCTGGCCATCAACTCTTTGAACTGTGAGAAGCAACATCAATGACGTGATGCGTTTATTATTCCGTGAAAAAAAAAACATCCAATTAATGGAAGACCAGCTAACCGCAGTCTCACACAATTAAAAACCAAAACAGCACATGACAGCAAAATCACTCCCCATCAGTTTACAAGAATGCAACATCAAATGGACTTAGGTAGAAGCAGAATTCACGAGTAGAGGAAACGAGAGAATAAGAATGACGTAATGAGAATGAAGGAATGAGAATGAAGGAAGGAACAAACATTAATGTAGGCGGCAACAATCTCCCTTCGATCCTCATCCAGCATCTGACTCATTTGCCCCGACCTGCCCAGGACGTCGAGGGCCTGTTTGGGATGGAACTTCACCCCGTGCTTGCGATTCACTGCCTTCTCGTACAACTTCACGTCAGTCGGGCTGTATCGCTGTATTTTGCTGCCGAATGTGTGTGTGTGCGTGTGTGAGAATGTGTGTGAGAATGTGTGTGTGAATGTGTGTGTATTTGTACATTGCTGATGACGGTGAGGCTCTAATGACGTTTTTGTCGGCCCTAACAGCAAAATTATAAACAATGAGCAAAAAGCAACAAGATGAACAAGAACAAAATAAAATAAACTATTATAAATAAATAAAATAAATATAAATAAACAAAATATATATAAATATACAAACCACAAGCAGTGAAAATCATTAGCATCAAAAGTAGCGTGAAATTTTTTTTGAAGAACTAACTTGTCAGTGAATCCATACATCTCCTTGAGGTGCTGTTTGAGTACGAGGAGCAAGAGATAGCCCTGAAGGGACATATAGAGATCAATGAGGCTTGTTCCCTCACTTGGTACAAGCTCTGTTCAACAGGTGGCAGAAGAGGGTGACATGTGGTGGAGGATTGGTATTAACTCATTCATTCATTAATTCGTCAATTAATTCATCAATCAATTAATTCATTCATTCGTTCGTTCATTCATTCATTCAAATATGCAAACAAACATCCATTCAATTAGTTAAATCAATACTAATTAAAGAAAACCTAAATAAATTTGAGAAACGTTGTACGTAGAATTTAATTTACAATGTCAAGCTCTCACCTGAAGATGACCCAACCAAACAAAACATTAATAATTTAAATAAAAAAAAACAAAACGAGAGTGAACCCCAACAAAAAATGAAGAAATATTCCAAAAAATTATACCAAGCAGGGTTTCCAGATCATCATCGTCGTCATCGTCATCCTCAAACTTTCTCCTATTTATCAGTGCTTGCTGTGTATTGGTCATTGACGTCATCAATTCATACTCCTCATTATTATTATTATTATTGTCATTGTTGTTGTTATTTTTACTGTCCTCATTGTTATTGTTGCAGTAGTTATCGGTACTGTTGATGTCTCGATCGTTACTGTAAGAAGTTCTGCTAATGTAGCAGTCATCACTGTTTACGTTGTTCACCGTGGTGTTTTTGGGGTGATCTGCTGCTGAAGTGTTGAGGTTGCTATCCTGATTATGATGACCATCGACAACGGCAACAACATCACTACAGTTGCCATAGATGTCGTCGCAGGGCATGCGGCTCCAACGTTGGCAATCATTTACCGATGTTGTGGCAACAACATAAGGTGTCCACGTTGTTGTTGTTGATGATGTTGTTGTCGCTTCTGATGCTGTTGTTGTCGCTAACGTTGAACAAGAATCAAAAACGTGCTGACTTTTTGTTTGGACCTGATGTTGTTGTTGTTGTTGCGACTGTTGTTGCTGCTGGAGAGCAGGATAGAAAACCTGGATAGGCAGAAAAAACGAATGATTGTTAGCACCAACGCATCCATTACGATCAATTAAAATATTTTTCAGATCAATTAAAATACTCTTCAACCTAGAAACAGTCTAATCAAACTAACTGATTCCAATACAGATAACCATTGTGGAACTTAACTTTGTTATCATTAAATAACCTTATTATCATTATAACATTTTTAAACAACAGCAAGCATCAACCATCCAGTGTGTCGCCCATCAAACTGTCTGCCTAACATCATCGCGTCAATTTTTAAATAAATTAAATGAAAAGTAAAAATTATTTATGAGATCTCCTGACTCATCACTGCTTCCAAATCGCTGCAACTCGAACACTTTGGTAGTCATTATCACCACCCTCATCATCATCATCATCATCATTACAACCACCACCATCATCATCATCATGACCTCTCTGAAGGATTGTATCAAGTTGAATCCGGACACAGAGAGTATGATATCGATTTGGTGCATGATGAACAGTGGTTCGTCCTGCAGCTGGTAGGAGAAGTAGGCCAGGTTGTCCGCCATGTACAGCAGCTCATTCAGGGGCGTTTTCTATCATATTTCATTCGTGGTGGTAGATTGGTTACATTACTTTGTAACTCATTTATATAATGAACGCATTGTGAAAATTATTACAAGATGCTAAACTGCAACTAACTCGCAGTAGCACGCAGTGTTATAATCAAATATATCATATGCATATATTGTCTACCGGCTCAATTCACGTTGTTATAATCATGTGCCCACAAATGAAGTTATATAAAAGGAAGCGTAGAACAGAGATGCATTTCATTACTAGGTCAGTTGTTAGTTCATTGAACAGGCACGGCATTAAAACTGTCAACTAGGTCCATTATTCCCACATTGTGGATCGTAAGAATATAGGTTACCAACGTAATTTATACAGAACTGGTAGAAAAAAATATAGAGATGGCAAGCAAACAAGCAAGCAAGCACTAACGTCCTCAAACATGCGCAGAGCGTTCATGACGAGCACTCTCCTGTTGCTACGGTTGCCGCGAACCACTGAATAAACAAAGGAGTTCAGTGACGTCATCGTTCCGTCTTCTTCCATCCTCACACCCCTTAGTTGACCAGGTTGTTGCTGCTGCTGCTGTTGCTGGTTCCCTGCATTGTGCTGCTGCGAGTCGGTACCGTACAGGAGTTTCTGCAGTCTGCACGACATCTTTATGCCCTGCATCGCTTTGGCCTACGTTCAAATCGCAATGTGTGTGCGTGTGTGTGTGCGTGTGTGATATCAAAATATCAAACTCGTATCAGACGACAACTAAAAGTTGACCAATCAGGACAACAAACACATACGTGAGCACACCATCAACCAATCAAACTTTCAGATGCAAGAAACCTGCACAAATCCAGGATACTTCTTATCGATGTCTTGAATCTGCTTGTCTGCCTTCAACCTGATATTCACATTTGCGTCAGAACCCATGCTGATCAGGTGTGCCATGCACTACAGGTGTTGTTGTGTTCAATGATGATGATGATGATGATAATGATGATGACGATGATTTGAACCGGTTCAAAATTCCACATATAAACGATAAACGACTTAATAGGCATGTGAAGAGGAAAACTGGAAGACGACTGACTGAGAATAAAATTAACGACGATACGAACAAATAAACCAATGATTCGATAATAATTGGGTGCAAGAGTGAATGAATGAATGGATGAGTGAGTGAGTGAATGAAAATACATAAAAATGAATGAAAGAGTACCTGCTGAGGATGGACCAAGCCCTGATTCAAGATGAGGACGACAACTTCAAGCGCCGACATCCTGACCTGCGTGTCAAACGGTAGATAACATTTAATGCTCCCTATTTAGATGATATGAATAAATAAGCCAATTAGATGGCGTATTAGATGGCGCCAATGTTGAAGCGCTCACGTGCAAGATGATTTTTAAATGAGCATTCTAAAAATAACGGAAATTAAAATGGGTTATATCTTTTTTACTTTCCACTAAGATAAAAATATGCGAAATGTAAACAAGACCATTGGATGGATAGAGGCATAGATGGAAAAATTGATACATTATATAGTCATGATTGTACTAATGCATTTTAACAGACACTAGCCTTGCACATGAAGGGAGTGACATGTATCAAAACGAACACACTCACATTCCATCCTCAAGGATAGGACATTTAAATACACTAAATACATTATACTCGAATCTCCGTCCATAATGACACACGAATGAACAACTTTTTAAGAAACAAAACAGCATTCACGTTGAGAAACAAATAGATTAATTAATATAAATATTAATCAAAAATATACAGAGAATCATTAATTGAAACTTGGTATAATTTGTGACAGCAGTGCAAAAAAATATGAAACTACTAATACGAGCATCAAAGAAAATAATGAATGAGTGAGGGGAGGAGAGGAGGATAAAATAAATGAAAGTAGAAAATGGATGAATGGAGGAACCTGCTGGTCGAGATGGAAGAAAGATTCAAGTATCTGTTTCAAATACACCTGGATTATTGTACTGGCCATCCTACGCAGAATATACATCAAGTCATTTAAATACGTCAGTTAATTTCATTAGATCGTATTTGAAAAATTATCAATCAGCGAAGAACTGTCGTCATCGCGATCATCATCATCTTCCTCAACATCATCATCTTTCTCATCATCATCCTCACCATAACCTACCCAGACTGAACGTCACCCATCTCCTTCAGATTCTCTTTATCATGAAGTTTCCTCCCTGAGCGTGTTAATTTAAATGAGTGTGCGTTGCTTTCTATGTATATATGTGTGTGTGTGTGTATGTGTGTGTGTGTTTGTGAGTGTGTGTCTTGTGTTTAAATGAGTGTGCGTTTCTATGTGTGTTTGTTTATGCGTGTTTGTTTAGATATGTGTGCGTGTGTTCGTTTACATGAGTGTGCGTGTATGTGTGTGCGCGCGCGTTTGTCTAGATGAACGGCACGAAATGAATGAAGTGGGTTGGTTAAAATAATGCAGAAAAGAACCAACACTCGGCATCTGCCTTGGCCATCTTGACCTCTTCCTCGGCCAGGTAGTCCTTGATGTTGCAAAGGACCTGCGAGCACATGTTGGACGGGACTGACGGGTCGGTCAACATGTGGTGGTACATGTCCCGGAGCTCCTTCCCTAACATCAACTCGTAGTGCTGGCTCACCAGGGAGCCTGAGTGAGTGCAAATGATGATGATGATGGTGGTGGTTGTTATGGTGGCAATGATGAATACAATGGTGGTGGTGATGAATGCAATGGTGGCGATGATGAATGCAGCGGTGGTTGTACCTAGATGGTGCTGATGAAAATGATAATGATGATGATTAAAAAACATGATAATGACAATTACATTAACTGAAAAATAAAGTAATCAAACAGCCCAATGGAGCAAGATGCTACTGACCAATGGCGGTGAGAGACTGAAGTCTGACTGAATCATCAGGGAAATCGAGGAAATGTAGAAATATCTCAAACACTTTGGCCTCAACATTTGAAACCTAAAAAGTTGTTTGTTTGTTAAACTTTTGAAACATTGGAACAATGAGTTTGAAATTTTAAAATATATTAAAAAAATTTGATAAACTTTTAAAAAACTTAACATGAAGAAAAAAGTATCGATCATTTCACCAACAATCATTCAGCCAACCGACTGACCAACTAAACCAAATAGAGCATCCTTCACTTAATCATAAATTTTTTAAAATGACAAAAAAATTCAACAAAACATAATTGTTCTAATTGCTATTAGTAATCAACCAATTAATCAGCCAACAAATCAATCAATCAACCAATCAATCGATCAATCAACCAATCAATCGATCAATCAACCAATCAATCGATCAATCAACCAATCAATCAAAAACCTTTCTGTAGGAGTCAAACTCTTTTGAATCAAAGTCAAAATGTTTGCAGAGCAGTCCAACAACATAGAGAGACCTTCTCAAGGACACTTTCATGGAATCCAAGGTCGAGAGTGGCGTGGAAGTCAGTGTGTTGAATTGTACATCACGTATCTTCTGGACTACACCTTATTTAGAAGTATGTCATTGTTCGATCGTTGACAGTAAATATCAAATATACAATTTCTTAAGAGAATCATCGATCAATCAATCAATCAATCAATCAATCAATCAATCAATCAATCAATCAATCAATCAATCAATCAATCAATCAATCACTTAATCAAACTAGTTAATAAATAAAGCACTGACCAAAGAACTTGTCGAAGCAATCGTGGACGAGCTTGAAGTTGTGTGTGATATCATGGACGACAGCACTCAAGCAGCCTATGCAGCTTTGAATTATCTGTTTGTGATTGTAGAAAATAAAATACTTCTTTGTTCGTTGCTTATGTTTATTTAAAAAAAAAAGTATAGATCCCATATTAATGTGCTAAAATAACCGAGTCGTAAACCTCAGTTAACATTAGGCAAATATATAATCAGTAGTATCGACAAATTAAGTAAAGCTATCCTTTTGTCACAATTCTTAAGCTGAACATTTAATGATGGTCATCATCATTATTTGTTAGTTTATCATCACCCGTTGTTACTTCATCATCACCCTTCTAACATCACCAGCATCAACATGACATTAATGAAAAGAAGAATCACAAAACTAGCAATTAATCTAACCATTGGTCCATGTCTGAGGACGAGTTTTGAGATGTCCTCCTCTACTTTGGCCAGGAACATCTCACCTGGGTGCTCCATCAGGGGCAGACTCAACTCCAAAATCTTCAAAACGTTGCTCACTATCAACGTGTCACTGGAGTTCTGTCGTTCGTTCGTTCATTCATTCATTCATCCATCCATCCATTAATTAATTCGTTCATTTATTTATTTGTACATTCATCCATTCGTTTTTTCATCCATCTATCTGTTCGGTTTTTTCCATCATAGCAATGATCACCATCAATGTGTTATTGGAATTGTGTGGTTCATTCTATATCTATATACACAGTACAGCCCAAACAATAGCATAAAAGTACATCCAACCACACATAACCACAACAACCACACGTAACCACAACAACCACACGTAACCACAACAACCGCAGACAGCGAGTACTGCAAGGAGGAAAATGGAAACTTACGAAAGATTTAATGTTGAGGTAGGGATGGATGACGATGCAGTGCTTGACGAGTAGGGATGGCTTCACTTTGCAGAACAGAAATAGCGTGGAAAAACATGAACTAAAACGAGAGGGTGGCGTTGCTGTTGTTGCTGCTGTTGTAGTTGCGCTGCCAGGTAGAGTTGCGTTGCTTATGTATCTGTTCAGTTCTGAGAGGATGAGAAATAAAGTTGCATCAGTATTTTTACAAAAAAAAACAAACAATTTAATGAGAAATGTTTCGTAAAAAAAGAATGATAATAAATGACACAAAAAACTAATTATAAACCCAACTCGCAAATGTTAACAAAATTATGTCTATAGCCCAAAACATATTTTCGTTGTATAGAAGTTCGTTATAAGGAGGTCCGACTGTATAATAATAATAATGATGATGCACCATGTTACAATAACGCTACAACAATCCAGTAGCAGCATAATTTCCACGTGAGGAGTAAAACAAAGCAGCAACGAATGCAACACGAACAACAACAAATAAAACAACACAGTTACAACGAAAGCATGGACAACAGCATCACAAATGAAACAGCGACACACCAACCAGCTTCCCGCTGCTCGAGTTGTAGAACGTTGTCAACGAGGCAGTCTACAATCTGCGTGCACGCCTTCTCTACTGGCTTCTCCTTTGTCTCTTCCTCCTTCTTCAACAACTGGTTAATGTCATTTGTACAGGTGATGTTTCATCAAGAAATAAACAATAACATGGAATGAGAAAGAACAATTCTCACGCTGGCAATTAAATTATCGAACAGTTGAAATAGCCTGTAAGATGAATTCAACAGCCACACCGAGCCAGAGATCACGTGCAAAAAAAAGTGAAAATGTTGTCAGGTAGTGACGAGAATTCAATCCTTAACCACGACAAATCAATCCAACAAACAAAAAACAACAGATAATGAAACAACAACAAAGAGCAACAGACAAGAGCAACGGACAAACAACGACAAACATTATCGAGTAGTTGCTCTAGCCACTCGAATCCAATGTTAAGAGAGGCCACGGCGACGACATCGGTGATGTTGTAAACTTTCTGAACAAGCACAGAGCTGTCCTTATCGGTGCAGGGAGTGAACCACATGCTTTGAAACGTCTCGTTCACCAATTTCTGAAACATCATTCAACCATTGTATGATTCATTTTGCTATTCAATTGATATGTGGATCCATCAGACGAGTGTACATCTTACAACTCATTAAATCAATCCATCTATCAACCCATCAAACAATCAATCAACCAAGTAAGCAATCCACAATGAATGAATCAACCAATCAGCCAACAAGTCAGTTGACGATAGCCTACCCTGATGCCTTCCTCGTCATTTACTCTCCGAACCATCTTCACGCACATCTCAGGTATCTTAGGAAACTTTGGCTGCTCCAGACAGATGTCTCTGAAAATTTTGATGACCCTCTTGCGAACACTTATGCCCGTGTCCTATAGATTTTGTGTAATAATTATTCTATATGCATTTGTTCAATCAAGATCACAAGCCTTATAATGAAACAAAAAGATGCCGCTTGGAAAATGTTCAATAAAATTCATGTTAATAATTAACGACAAAGTCTAAATCCTTCTGTAATAGTGGCAAATAGTTTGTTTAGTAACAAATTCGATGGAGAGGCACGCCTGCGCAGACTAACCAGGATCCTTTCAGAGAGCATGTCGTAATATTGAGCGGTGAGTTCGGGTCGGACGAGGATGAACTTTCCGACGAGGTCAATCGCTGCCTCCCTCACCGAAGTCGACGAGTCTGTGAATCGGTTGTGCACTCCTATCTGCATGTCTTTCTGTTGACGCCGAAGCATGAATGGTGAATTTTGTGATGAGAAATTTCATCTATACCGCTACATCTCTGTCATCATTACATCGTAAAAGTATTAAATAAAAGGAGTACAATTCGAGTTATGTGTGCGTGTGTGTGGTGTGGTCATTATTGATTATGATGCAGAGATAATCAGCGCGGTAACGATAACATTTAGACCAAGAAGAGAGTAACGAAGAGAACCGACCCTCGCCAGAACACCAGGATCAGCTTCAATGACAGCTGCCAAACACTTCAACGCTCTAGATCTCACTGCAACCGTGCTCTCGTGTAAGACCTTCAAGATCTGTTTCAAATCAGTCAATCAGTTCTACACTACCAATATTTATTGATTTTCCATACCACGTGTACAAAATATTTAAATATTAAATAGAGAATTAAAATTACGATGGAGATGGCACAAACATAACAAGTTACAAGCAGCAAACCTTGTTAAGATAAATGTCAAAACTTTGTGAAAATGGTCTGTTGGATGCAAGGTACCTGGTTACCAGAAGGGCACCATCGTAGTCCAGACGAGATCTGTTGCGTCTGTTCGCAGTTCATTACGAAGTATATATCAAATATATTATGAGCCAAGCCGGTAAAATGACGTTCACAGAACAACACTTGAAATTATAGAAATTTAGTCAAGAAAAAAGATTAAAATGAGAGCAAACTGACTTGATGCTTGATTTGTAAACATGCATCTCAGATATTTCATCGAATAAAAAATTTTTTCGTTTCTCAATTTCCATTTGCGTAAGTCGTAGGATATCGAGCTCGATGGATTCCTTGTTGTCTTGAGCACCACCATCATCATCCTCTTCATCCTCTTCTTCAGTGTCATCATTATCAGTTGCTTCATCCTCTTCATTCTCATCGTCGTCAACAATGGCCCGTCTGCGTTTGCTCCTGTTATGTTTTGCGGATTTCTCTCGATGACGCCTGCTTTTTGGTGCAGACTTTTTTGGCTTGCGCTGCTTCTTCACGTTCATTTTTTCTTCTGCCATTTTTTTTGTTTTCGTTTCGATTTCTTTGCTGCAATCTCTCAGCCACTGGGCTATGTAAAATTTCCTGGCAAACTGCAAAACAATTTAACACGAATTTCATCAGTATTATTTGCCAGTGCTAGAGTCATTCAGTGTATGAAATTATTTCATACAAACGCATGAACAGACAACAACTACATCAACATAGAAACAAACAAACAAACAACAATGAAACTAACAATTAATGCATGGTCAGTTTCAGTGGTCGACGCCAAGTAGTCCAACAACCCTTTCTGCAGTAGTTGCGTTCTACTTATGTCACAAATCTGGTAATTGTACAAAGTGCGTATTGTTATGTGGTGCACATAATGTTGTTGTGTCATAAAGTATACATAACGTTATACATCAGTGACATCATCAATGACATCATCAATGACATCATCACAGTGAAGGACGACGTAAGATCGAAAAATCAATTGTGACTAAATATAATAAACAAAGAATAAGTAGACACATACATTTGTATTAAATTTCTTTTCCTTGATAGCACCATCAACTACAGCATCGTCACCCTGTTTATGATCATTCATTCATTCATTCATTCATTCATTCAAATACATTCGTTCATTGTTGAAATGTCAGTCAATGATGGATCCACACATTTTATAAAGTTTTATAAAATAAGTTTTGAGACTGCAAAAATTTTTAAAAATGGCTATCTCCGTGCATTTGTATCAACTACAAACTTAATGAAATTGAGCAGAGCGGGTAAATGAATGAATGAAAATAAAAAAAAAACAAGTAGATTCCAACATCAAGTTGTTTGACTTCTTCTTTAACATCCGGCTTATCGACGTCCTCAGTTTCATCATCATCTTTTTTAGAGACCTAAAAAAATATTTTTTGTATTTATTAAGAAGATTGTTCAATAAAAATTGAAAAAAAACCCAATTAATTTCATGAATGCTAGTGCCTATAACTGTCTATCGGCTCCATAAATTTTTTTACTCTCAGTCCGTGTAACACCATTTTTTCTTTCACAAAATATATTAAAATGAATATTTATACAACAAATTTGTTCCATACAGCTGAGTGATAGAGAGATGTTGTATCAATTTAAGCTGGAACTAGAGTAAGATTTGGAGATAGACAACAGAGTGTGTATGTAAAAATAGAAGAAGGTAATGAGGATGGATGATGGTGATCGCAGGTGCATCTGGTCGGTGGCACGTATCTCGATAGACCCTTGTGCCACTCTATAGTATGATGATGAAGAAATATGAACCTGGCAATGGCCAATAACGTTTTCGGTAATGACGACAGCCACAACGATATATAAATGGTCCTATGGATTCGAAAACTATTGATTCAACTAAATAAATGTCAAAGACAACAAGCAAATAAAAAAACAACAACATAGAGAATATAATCAAACATTACAAGCCACCTAAAATAAATAAATATAAATGAGCAAAAGAGCTTAAGAAGAGTTAGTTGACGTGATACCTTCTTGATGATATCGTCGATGACGCTTTCGTTGAGATGACTAGACACGGCGTCCTTACGCAGTCGAGCGGCCACGATGCCCAGGTAGTCCAGCGAGGCTACTCGCAAGGACATCTCAACTGATTTGCTGCTGAACTGTTTCACCTGGTTAATGTTTTGTCGCAATTTTTATAGCTAGTTTGTAGGAAAATGTACATACACGATACACAATCATTGTAATTAGTTTGAAAAACAATTTATCACAATAACTATTGAATATATTTAGGAGAGAGTGTGTGCCGAGATATAAGCTCTGGCCATTCCTTATACTGCCCCTATAATCGTGACCAAAAAATGTCACAAAAAGAATTATTAAGTGACATCATCATCACAAGAGCATGTGACACAAGAAATTGCATAACGAAATGACACAGTTGGACCACAGAACGGCCCAACAGCACAAAACCAACCAGGAGACTGCCGAGAATACTGAGAAGAAGTTCCGAAGCTGGCCATTGAGGCTTGTTGACTGTTGATAGGAGATCATTGACAAAGTTACCAAACATGCTTCTGTAATCATCCTCCTCCTTAGCTGTGCACCTGTTGTCATTGTAATGATACCGATGTGATGTTGTAGCTGGGATGTCGTTGTGATGTTGTAGCTGGGATGTCGTTGTGATGTTGTAGCTGGAATGTCGTTGAGATGTTGTCGTGATTTTGCTGGATGTGTTGCAGTCATTTAGTGGTAAGGTTACGATGATTTTGAACGATGGCGTGACATGTTTGTGGTGAGGTGGTGGGTGATGTTTGTGATCTGTTCAAAATCAAGTAATCCAGTATAATGTTGTACAGAAAAGTCAAACAGTGCAATTCAATACATTACAGATACAAGAAACGTCACAGACTTTCCAAGAAAGACGTGTAGGAAGTTGTGGGCAGTGAACATGGCCGTATCGTACGAGGTCAATATCATTGCCTCTTTGTCCATCTGATTGGTGGGTACATGTGTGTTAGGTCAGTAGTTGTAAACCATTGGATTAGAATTTTATAAATGATACAATTAAAAACAGCATAAGCTTCCAAAAGAGCAACATTAAAATATATATAAAATTGAAAACACTGAATTCGAAAATTCTAGAAAAGAAAAGTGCAACGAAGAAATAAAAATGTTAAGATTACATTAAATTTGATTTTGTTTCTGTTCTTCGTCATCTTCTCAGCAGATCTATTCTTCCCGACATCCTCGCCATCAAAGTTGGCAGGATCGTCGTCGTCGTCATCGTTGTTGTTGGTGTTGTTGTTGTGGTTGCTGTTCGTATTGCTGTTGTTATCATCATGTTCTTGTTTGGAAGGCAACTTGACGACACACTGGATGAGCTGGAGTGCCAGTGCTGTTACCATCTGAATCTGCTCATCCACGTTCAATCTGTACATTTTTATAAAACGAAATCTCTTGTCACAGAATAATGCAATATACTATTAATAAACTAAAACTAAATTTAGAGTTATGCTGAAGAATTAACAATCCCTGCATTGCCTCGCCCACTGTAAGATTGTTTCTCTGGTCGTTGTACCGCGAACTTGCAACGCAATGTATACCAAAAAAAATTATTGTTTTAAGAGCAACAACCATTGCAAAAAAGTTCTCGTTGATATTAATTAACAATTGTTGCCTTGAATACAAATGAACACCGCGATGGCGAAAACGAAAGTTGTAATTTCCTGATGTCTGATCCTTACAAATGGGCACAACAAACGTGAAAAAACATGCAGCCACAAGTTACATCTGCCACAAGTTACATCAGCCACAAGTTACATCAGCCACAAGTTACATCAGCAAGGAAAACAGTTTTCCAGTATATAATAAAATGAACTTTATAGACTAAAACTACAGCAATAAAACAATGAAGACCAACCTGTAGCTTCTCATATTTTTTTTGTTGGATGGCAGTCGAGCCAGTGATGATAGGATATCCTCCAGAATCAGTTGTCTATGTTTGTCATACTTACTAAATATCTGGGTTACGTTTTAATAAAAAAATCTAAATACCTTAATTTAAACTCTATTTCCTTTTCGTCTCTTAGAAACAAGAACATGATTTGAAAGGATTACTATCTAACACCATTCATTTAAAAAAAATTTTAATTGTAAAAAATAAAGGTCTATAAAGTGCTGTCGGGAGATGAAGCAAAATCAGCCAGTACGACTTACGGGCGTCAGTCGCACACAGCATCACAGATCGTGACAACAACAACCACAGTGCTAAACAAACAATTTACTTACATTAGTGACTAGTTTGAGGGCATTCAGTTGTAGTTCTGGTATATTCTCAACGAAAAATGGCGCAACGGATAGAGATGATGTCTGACAAACAAATTTTATGAGTTCAATATAAATTCCCTTATGTATTGAAAAACCAATTAAGAAATAATTAAACCTCGAAACTGAAAAATTTCTACCTGCAAAATGATGGCATCAGTGAGTTCCTGGATGTCGACCAGTTCAGCCAGGAGTCCAACAAGGTCGGTGAGTTTGTTGTAGATGCTGATGACTAATCTGTCTCTTGAACCCCCACTATTCTTTGATCTTTTTGACTTTATGCTGGCTTGCATGCCTGTTTGACAATGACAAAAGTATTGATCATATTCATAACAACACAAAACAAAACGTAGCATAAAAAAGCATAAAATAATGTAACATAAACACGGCCTAACATAACGTACAAATGGAAATATTGAGTTCACCAGCTAAAAATATTGAGGTCGCAGCATAATAATTCTCTAGATAGTTATCAATATAATTATATACCAGCTGATAAACTTATAACATAATAAGCCAAACAGTTAAATAATCAACCAGACAACCGACCAACTTACCAGCCATTCAACCAGTTAACATATAAATCAGTCAACCAGTCAAGAGAGCGTCAGAGGGTATTAAAGCAATAAACCAACTGACCTTTTCCTGAGAGATCGGCCTTGTAGATGGGGTCGAAAGAGGGAAAGATGAAGTTCTTCATGTGCTGCCGACTGAATCTCACTACCTTCTCTATCACGTCCTCTATGAAGACCTAGGTCAAGGTTATAAATAAGATTTGTTACTCAACTGATTAAATGATTGGTTAATCAATTAAGTGGTCATTTGATTTCAGTTCATATAAGACAAAACAACAGAGAGAAGAAAATACTTGTTTAGGCATGTTAGGAGATGTGAGGATGATCATGGCAATCATGCATGCGTCCAAGCCGATGTTCACAAAATTTAGTGTTAATTCACGAAACCGCAAATCTTCATCTTCATCATCCTTTTATAACCAATTGTTCAGTGCAAATATGAATACAATTCACTTTAAAATTGTTAAAAATGTTAGTCATATCACAGCTTATGATTTAGGCGTGAAATAACGTTATACCATGAGTAAATTGCGTTGTCATTTTGTTACAAAACCCACAACACTTTATTCTTAATATAACTACTTTAGTTTAAAACCTCAGAGAATACTCATACAAAGTAGCAAGCAAGAGATACAGACCAATTCAATTATAGGCACAGATCTGAGTCCTTGCTTAATAGAGTACTGGAGGATGGTCATTAGCTTTATCAACTTGTCGTAGTGAATCTGAAACAATTGTTTTTGCTAGTTAAAAATATGCACCCAAAACATCAACATTTATTCAATAAAATATTTAAAAAATTGAAATAAAAACTAAATGACAATAAATTTGAGCGAGTCATTTTACGTGACAACCAACAACATCCAACAAAAGGTATCAAACTGCGAAATGAAAATGACACAAAAGCAATTGAAAGAAGAGCAAGAGAGACCTGGTTCATGAGGCCAACAGTTTTCAGTTTGGCAGCCTCCGATACAACATCCACCAAGACATTCTTTGGCACGACTGGATCAGTCAGACACGATGTTTCTTCATCCTCTTCGTTATCTTCATTCAAAAGAGCAATTCAAATATTAGGAAGGTAAAATATTCCCATAAGATATCAATGCAACACCATAAAAACAACCCACTTTTCTTAAGTGCTCACAACACCACAACATACATCCATTTCGTAACTTTTAGCATTAAGATTCCCATTCCGACTCTACAAAAAAAGCTTTCAACTCTTCATCCTCATCAACGTCACCATCATATCGCAAAATGACGTCACCATCCCGAAATAACATCACCATCACAGCACATGCCATCAATCAAATTCACCCGCAACAACGACAGCAACGAAAACAGTCACGACAAAAGCAGCGACATCAGCCCCGACAACAGCCACCTTTGAAGGCAGCGAGATCGATTTCTTCAGAGAGTTCAAGAACTTGGTCGATAAGTGAATAGAATCTTCTGCATGACGGACCATCAGTCTGATCGTCGTCGTCAATGAATGTTCGATGCTTGCTGGAGTGGTGGTGGTAGTGGTGCTTCTTCTTCTTCCTTTCCTCTCTCCGCCTATGGCGATCTGTGTTAAACATTAAACCCGTCAAATATCATAATAGGAAATGTAGCAGAATGGCCAAACAATGATGTGAGATAATAAAACAAAATTTGACAAACAAATACATATAAAAAGACAATCGAGCAAACAAAAGGTCAAGACTTTGATCAGAAAGAAACATGCAAGCAAGCAATCACCTATACATACTAACACACATATGCATGCATGTAGGCACAGACATGTGAGTATATTTAAATTTATATATGTACATAATAAGTGCATATCTACAAATGTTATATCAAATTATCTGCAAGTTGCTCAATGTTGACCTTGTTGTGCAGAGCAGCAAGTAAAATCAGTGAAATATTTCCACATAATGGAATTAAAAAACAAGAAAAGACACATATGTACAAGCATACATACATATATGCACGCATGCATACATACATACATATATACAAACACACACACACATACATACGTACATACATGTATACATGTTTTCTGTATTGCTATGGTGATATTGTGTGCATGCTTATTTATTCATTTGTGACAATTACGCACAGTAATAATTTTGTTAAATTATTTTGATAGTGCCTTTGAAAGGGTTTAATTGGCGCTAAATAAATTTTTCTTAATAATAATAATAATAATACATACATACATACATACACGCATGCACGCATACATACATACATGCATGCATGCATACGTAAATACATACATACATATATACATACATTTAAACATGCCTACTTACAAACATAGAACGGACAAAAACAAAAATCATACAAACCGTCAACATCTTCAAATGATGGGTCCAATAAAGACATGACATTTCTATTTTTAGCGTCACGGCTGTCATCTTCTTCCTCTTCCTCATCTTTCTCTTCTTCCTCCTCGACATCATCAACATCATATTTGACGCCGACAGATTTGGCATTCCTTCTTCGTTTCACTCGTTCTGAGAGTGATGGAGCGAATTCGGATGAGTACGAGCTTTCATCATCCTCATCGGATGTTCGCCTTTTTAGCCCTGATAAATAATGTGATTATTACCATCCTCATTTGCAATGGTACTTATTAGGCTAAAAATATTGAAATGTATACGGATAGTGTTTAGAGATATCATAGATATAGAAGACGCCACACTCATAGATGATTACCTCTTTTTGATAACTTTATTTTAAGTTGCTGTGAGGAATGTTGGTTCACGACGTCATATTGTTGCGAGCTGCTATTTGCTGATATGTTGTTGTTGTTGCTACCATTGTTGAAGTCATCTTCTAGTCTAGTTACTGAAATAAGAGCAAATTTATAATTCTATTTATAAAAAAAAAACTTTATCAATAATTTAGAACGCAACTACATACACCAGAAAAAAAAATTAAAAAAATCCAAGCTTTGTCAGGCTTATGCAGGACAACCTGGAATTAACTAACATCTATCAACTGCTATGCAACCTACACTTAGGATCGTTACATAAAGTTACAGAAAATTTGAATTAATTCCTCAGCTCAATAAACAGCAAAATGGTTGATTAAACAAAATCTTTTTAAAGCCACTATATTTAATAACAAGTATGTCTGAAAAATTAAATTAAATTATCACTGATTATCACAATTTAACTAACAAATAAAACACCACAAAATGACAAAATAATAAAATAAAAAAACAACTCTCAAAGCAAAATAAAACAAAGCTAAAAAATGTAAGGAAATGCGACTAAATTTTGCAAAACAATATTAGAGAAAGCAAAATGGAATGGAACTGAAGAAAACTATACAAAATTAAAGATAAAACAAATTGATACAAAACAAAATGACCCAAAACAAAATGATTAAAAAGATGAAACAAAACAAAATGATAAAATACTGAAAACAAAATTATACTAACATGAGACTCTTGGTAATCTGTCACCAGTGGACACCTGTAGAGTAAAAATAAACCAAAAAGAGCTGAAGTTTTAATTCCATAGATAAAATCAAAAATGGTAAATTCTACTGGCTGGGACTTTAGACAGAAATGTTTTTAATTTCTAATTGTTTAGATTTTAAATTGCTACTGCAATTATGACTGTACAATTATTCATTATTAACATAATCAGCATCATCTTCTTTATTGAATTTATCCAATCCTTACATGTATCAAATCATATACCTTAAACGAAAAAACTTTTGGAGTGAAAATAATACCAGATTCGTAAAACAAGTTAAGAATAATTAGCATTTAACGTTTTACATGGTAATATTCCTGAATAATTTTAAACATTTATTTAAAAAAATACCAAATCCTAAGGCTACTGATCAATTCATTTTGCGGTTAGATTACTATTTTCAAGTATCAGTTTAAATTATTTGATGAAAATGAAAACAATGCAATTTATCGTGTGAAAATGCAACACACAAAAAAAAACAGCAGCAAACAAGCAAACAAACCTTTGAATCTGATGTTTTTATTGGACCCCTGAGAAATTGTTGTTGTTGTTGAAGATGGTGTTGTTGCGGATGGTGTTGCGTTTGTAATTGTTGTTGTGGCTGTTGTTGAACGATTTCAAAGGGATTCATATGTTGCTGCAACATTTGTTGATGTGCCTGCTGATGCGGTAGCATATGATGCTGTTGCGTATGTTGTTGTAAATGCTGTTGCTGTTGTGGTTGCATGTGTTGCTGAGACTGATGTAAATAAGCTGGATTGGGAAAATTTCCCATAGGTAGTTGTTGCTGGTAAAAGTTATTGTAGTTTTGGAAAGAAGTTGTTGTTTGTGTTGCAGAATATTGTAAGTTTGTTATATTTGAAGGGTCATACATAGGAATCATTGTGTTGGTGATGAGGGCATTGTTGTTGTTGAGATTGTTGTTGACCATGCGAACAACAGGTTCTGCTCCAGTGGGAGGTGCAGAGGAGGCTTGGGCTGGTGAGTTATCTGCATTACATAAGTTACAATCAATATCTTACAATGATATAACAATTATTTTGCATAAGTACATGGTTGTTACAATCATTATCATACAATGATACAACAATTATTTTCATGCAGTACATAAGTACGCAGTTGTTACAATCAATATCTTATGATGATACAACAATTAATCTCATTAGAGACTACTTGTTGAATAAACTAACAAAATAGTTAATAAAATATTTAGTCACCCTATCCTGGCTAGAACACCCCAAAAATTAACACAAACTAGCAATAAACGATTAATTTGAATTCCAACAACAGACAAGTGAACAAAATATATATGAAATGAAAAAATAAATATTGAAACATAAGAAGACATCCCTGAGGAAGTGACTAACCCACAAATGGCTTCACACCTCCAGGTGCAGTTTTGTGGACGCCGGCCATATTGAAACCATCATCACACGTACTTCGGCCTGGTACATTGCTTGACATGTTACTCATGCTCTGTCCTACAAACTGCACATTGGATGGGAAGACCTCTTCCATCATCATCTCATTCGTTCCTATTGGTTGGTCAAAGTTTGGAGACAGTCTATTCATCAGGAACTCATAATCTGATAGGTTGTTGCAAGCGAAGTAACATTTTTTTAAATTAACATCAACTGAAAAATTTTGTTAGACACCAGATTGTTTCAATCGCACAATCTATTTCACTTTCAATGCTACATATTTCTAGACTTTTTTTCTATTACTTTAAACTTCTCTGTTTCAGGCTGTTCATTTATTTGGAAAATTTGGATTTTAATTTTACAGAGCCTATATTCGTTTAGAAGTTAGTTTATAGTACGTTTGTCATCATTTCATAATGACCTCAAACTGAACACTGATTACAACAGATTTCATGTTTGATCGTTTTCTCGCATGAACAAACCTGCCCAGATCAGACCTCATTTTTTTTATAAACATCAATGGAATGATTACCACAAATTGATTAACCAATAAAAAATTGATTTAAATAATGGCAAGATGTGATGTGTGTATGGAAAGTTATAAAAAAAGGAAAGTGAGAGTGAATGGACAAAGTGTGCAGATATTATGTAAAGAAGCTGAACTAGACAGCTGATAAAATTTGCAACCAGCCTACTAAGAATGACGGTTGGTCACATCCAATTAAGATTAAGTTGAGGTGTTCAGGCAAACATAAATGGTAATGTGCAAAGGACAAAAAAGTTATGTAGACAACAGTGTATCAACGAAAGAGCTCTTTAACAAATTTGAACAATAAAATAAAATGCTAAAAAAATTCTTACAAGTTGCAGATTATAAAATAAGAAAACATACATTTGTTTTTAAATAATAATTATCACAAAAAATTAATACAAAAGAAAATGTTTTATGCAGAACCTTGATCATTGAAGGGTAATTGCTGATGCTCATATGATGCACATGGTCCATTAATGTTGGTTGTTGATACATTGTTGTTGTTGCTGTTGTTGTTGTTATTGTACATGTTGTTTGCATCCTTTGCAGCATAACCTGGAGCAACAACATAAAGAATTTTCTTAATTGTTTAGTGGATGTACTAATGTTAAATTTGACGTATTTTCCAGGAAAATCATATAAAAACCATCACCAACCAAAGTTATCACAGACTCACAACGGCACACACTCACAATGATGATGATGAGGTTACATAATTGTATATACTTGCAACCGCATGTAAACTATGAAAGTGAAGACGAAATTTAAATTTAACCACAAAAACCTGTATTGTTGTTATATGTGAGCTTGTATTTGAATACATTCGAATCATTGAGGACAAGAAACTTTAGGAGGTCTGGCGCATTTACATTATTCAGTAGTTCACTTAGAGGAGTTTCATTTGGGCATTCACTAATGCTAAAAAGTAATAAAAGAATTCTGTTTTATTTACTCGTAATTTTAATTTAATGATGATATTTATTTAAGAATCCAAATAATTAATTTTAGATAACAATATCTGAAAATAGTAAAATCATATAAATAAATAATAATTTTTAAAAATTCAATGAATGAATCATAAACTAAAAAGAAAAATTGTAACATGTGATCTGTTGTAGATAGGCGTAAAGATTGTATGAGTTCTTGAACAAGAGTCTGGTTATGATTAGGAGAATTTAAAATTTTCTGAGCTTCATTTGCTAGTGATCCATTGTACAACAAACTATCTTGTGACACTTGCAGCACTGATGTTGGCAGAGGTAGATTCTTAAGCACTGCATGAGCAAATTATCAAGTGTTTTTTGTTATATAAAAATAATATATAACTATTACAACTATAAACAGTATACTATAAACAGACGTTAAACTTACTATTAATTTTATAATCACAATTTACAATTTTTTAAACTTGCACCACAAAATATAAAATTTATAGTTTAAATCAAAAATGAAATAAATTATTAAAAAAAAACTTACAATTTGTGAAACTAGATATAGCAGATAAAGTTATTATAGGAACACTGGGTGCACTCCCGTCCATTTTAACAATGATTAATAATCATTTATAATGGAAGGCTGGTACGACTATTTCTTCCAGATTTAAACGCGGATTTAACAGATCTGTTTTCTATAGACACCAGAATCTAACAATTTTCTAACAGATTGGCACAACAGCAGAAGCTTTTGGTTTGGTTTACCAAGCACCCATGTATGTATGCGTATTTCGCTACTTTGAAGATCAAGATTATTGAATAGAATTACAAATATCAAATAAAAACATCTGTCAAAAAATGTGAGATGAAATTAAAATACATGACTTCCCATCACACCGCGATCATATTTTAACGATACAATAAAATCATTAACAACAACAATAATGGCGTTTACAAAAAGTCTACATCGCGCACAAATCAAAATCAAATATATATAATAATTTGAATTATAAAAAACTTTTTTATAATCTAAAAAATTTATTAGAACAAGAATTTAATTTTATAACAGATAATTTTTACCGTATACTTATAAAATATTTTAACTATACCGGATTATAACTAAAAATCTGAATACTTTAATAGAAAAATTTTAAATTTGAAAATGCTAAATTTTATTAACAAACTATTTTTTATAATTTTATCAAATTACTAAATTTATATTAAAAAGTATTATACTTGGAGTAAATTTAAGAAAACTGAAAATAAATTTATAAAGCGCTACTCAATTACGTCGTTGAATTTTTTGGCCGATTGTTTCTTTTCCGTTTTGGTTTTTCTGCGCTAAGAATGGTAAATAATATTTGTTTTCAATCTTTTTTAATCCCTTTTTATTTTATAAATAATAAAATAATTTTTAATACAATAAAAATTATTCACACCTTTCAGTTTGAATTTTTGTTAAATTTACTTGTTCCACGCTGGAATAATGCTCAGCAGCCAGATTTTAATATAATTGATTTTAATAAAATTTATTCTCTTTAGACGAAAGGAACGTCAAGTTTTGGAAAGCGTCACAACAAGACGCACACCCTGTGCAGGAGATGCGGTGGCCGATGTTATCACATTCAAAAACAAACTTGCGCCAGATGTGGGTACCCCGCCAAACGCATGCGAAAATGTTAGTACCATGTTATGATGCTACCATGCAGTGAGGCTAGTGAATAATAAAGTAGTCAACAGTGAATCTACCTCAGAAACTAGTACTAAGGTTTAAAGTATTTAGTTACAGATTCGTACTAAGAAAATGTGAATGGTTTTCATGAGCTGAAAACAATTATAATAAGTACCCCACATATGTGGTGGTGTGCTTTATGCTCCTTCCTTTGCTTCATAACATTGCACTTTTCAACTTCATAATAGGATTGGCCAATTAAACATTAAACAATGGCTGCTGATGAAACTGTATTGTTATTTTCAAATAATTAATAAATGCTTAAGCTTTTTTGGTTTAATTTAATATTAATTCATCATTTAAATTCATTTTATTTTTAAATTAAATGAAACTAGTCTAACTATGGCTTCTTAGAGATTCTCAAGTTGAGTAAATATTGTTGTATCTATTAAGCTTTTGTGCTATGCTATCATGATAAGGTGATAGTTGGGACTGTCAAAAGAGCAAATATACTCATATTAATGGTAGATTTCATGCTCAACTGGTTGCATGTTATTTTCATTGTTTGTATTATATATTAAATAGTATTTTTATGTAGATAATGTTTGACAATGTTTCAAAATTTGAATCAGATAATTGGAGTGAAAAAGCTTGCAGACGCCGAACTCAAGGCATTGGTAGAATGAAACACCTCAAGAAAGTTTTCAGAAGATTCAGGTTAATTTGGACTACATTTTTTTTATTGATTCTCCTTGTTTTGTCTCCCTTTTGAATTTGCAAAATTAGGAATTTAGCCCAAATTACATTAATATTGTCATTATATATAAATAATTTTGGCAACTGTTACAGAAATGGCTTCAGGGAAGGAGGTGTTGCAAAGAAAGTAAAGGCAGTGGCACCAGCTCCGGCATCTGCAGCAGCAAAATAAACTATGACTGTCTAAATTGATGCTCTTTTTTTCTGAAAACAATTTTTATGACGACGATATTTATTAAGACACAAGTAAATAAATATTGTCTATGTAAATTATGATCTATGTTTTTACTTCAACTTGTCTCGATTGCTCGTGAGTTATAAATGAACGTGCGGTACGTAGCACTAATTAAGTGGTTATCGGTTGTTGAGAATATGTAAGTGATTCACGTGTTGTTGTGTATTAAAGTGCTACAAACACGCAGTGAGAAATCTCAGTGTTTTGTCAATGATCGCTGTTTCCTAGTACCAAGATGTGTTGGTATTTTTTGTGGTATTTTTCAAGGCATGATTTACTTAAGGCTAAAGTTTGTCAGTGTTCTCATTGCTTTTGTCTGTGTTTACAAATTTTCCTGCGATGAATGTAGTAATTATTTGTCTTCACATGGAAACGTTTTCCTGATTATTGCTTTTTAAATGAAGTTCAAAAATGGGAATAGTTGGTATTTTAAGTCGTTTTCGAATACATTTGTATAGGCGATGACACGTTTTGTTCCGCTGATTCATTCAATTCGCGGATTGAATGATGCACTGCGTTCGTGAACTAAATAGTTAAATTATTAGCAATAATTGACTAATAGTGAAAATAATTGTTCCGAAAATAAAATGTAACGAATCTAATGTATAAAGAGTAATGAAATAAAATATCTTCAATTCGTTGGTGTCAAACTTTATGCATCTCTTTGTTCTTCCCGTCAAGCAGTTCTATTTCAACGTTCAGGATATCTAAACTGCTCAGTACTTTCGGGATTTCTTTTGTCTTTTTAAACATAAGAAAAAATGTTCATTGGAGAACTTAGTTTTTAAAATATCTTTTAGGATCATATATAGTATACTTTTCTTTATCTACCAGTTTATGTCTAGGATCTTAGCACTTAATCGAAGATGAAATATAACGAAATTGTTGAGTTAGTAAATAAAATACGGTCTTAACCGTTAATAGGTCGCTGACCTCCTGAATGCGGTCCGTAAGTGAGCAAGTTGAAAATGATATATATCATGGGGGTATGTGTTCGCCAGATTTACATGAGATGGGATATGAAAAATTTTTTTATTCTTTATAAAGCAGATTTGTCAAACACAGAACTGCTTACATGTTATTCTATATAGGATGTAATATTCACACCACACGACGTACATTCACTTCATGTTTGAACGCGCAAGCACCGCATCATACGCGTATGATAGTCTTTGACTTTCAAGTAGCTATGACAGTATTCCGACCAGGCCCTCTCGTAACAACAGCACAAGACACGGCACTTTTACCAAATGAGCTAAGTCGGACTACATTCAGAAAGCCAACGATCTGTAACGAGGAGAGACACCGCATTTATTTTTAAACCCCAACTCAACATTACATTTCGTGTTCGATTAAAATCCTAAGATCTTCATTTGTAGCGTTCGCTTTGCTTCAGAGTTCTTTTAAGTAATTTAGGGTCTCGTATAGCGTTTAAAACGAGGTACATCATAAACTGCAGAAAAGTGCAAAATTCCAACTTGTAATAACAGCTCTAGCATTATGGATAATGACATTTCCTTCACAACTCGTAATTTTTCGCTGGCTGTGGTTAGATTTTGTATAATCGTTTTACTAGTAGGACTTTGATCTAGCATAGCAGACCAGTCAAACTCTGCGTCGTCATTCGATGTTCCATTTCCAAACCTGAAAAATTCAATCTATCAATTCATCTTTGACTTTAGATTTCTTTTTCATAAAATTTAAATTTGCTGTTCTCAACTTATCCGTGAATTTTTAAATGATAAATGATAAGCATTTATAACGTTAATAATTTAATTTATTTAAGTTAAGCATGAGGTTTACCGTTGCTTGACTGAAATCGACAATTCCATTTCCTTTTCCGCTTGAAGCATCATCTGGGAGCTCCAGTGTTGCGGACTTCTGACCGACATCTTTTTGTGAGCAAAGCAAGGGAGTACACGTTTATAAAATGGTTGCTTGACATTAAGTAGGAACAGTTGAGTTTCTAGCATGTATTCCTGTATAGTATCAAGCATGGTTTTCAAATGGTCTGTTCTCATCAGCTGAGATTCCAACTCATTTAATATGGATTCACCTAACTGAATTCAACGATGTTATTTAAGTTCTATATTTTAAAAAATTTATAATTACATCTACGTTTAAATAAATTGAAGTTTCTATTCGCTCATGAAGTTTAAAAAAAGGTTGTTAAAATGGTCATGTAACATTTTTCAATTTAAAATTCCATTCTTTAGTAACAAAGCTGTTTGTAATAGAAAAGTGAATAACTATATTTTTCTATAAAAATTTATTATTCAGAGGTTTGTTTGCTTGTTTTAAAATATTAGAATATTTATTCAGTTGTCAGGAAGGTTGAAACTTCATTTTTTAATAACGTTTTTGTTGTAATAGTTTAAATCCAGTAAGTACCGCAAGACAAGAATCACACTTCTCAACAACTTTTTCCGATATATCCAACAAGTGTGGTAATGCATCGTCACCTCGAAATATTAAATCTTTCAAGCCAGTGGTAACACTGAACAATGGTTGACTAGCAGCAGGTTTGGCGACGTTGGTAACAGGATTAGTGGAATTTTTCACCTCACTATCTTCTTCAATTGTTTCAATATTGCCCTGAAATTTATTTTTTAGCATTATTTAAACAAATGATGCACAAGCACATGCAATCAAGGAATAATTTGGCTAAGTTTTATCTAGCGCTACCTCTGTGATGTTTAACAAATCTAGTTTTAACAACATCCGTACATCCGATTAGTAATAGATTGTGATATTAAAATGATATGGCGGAGTAAGATTAATTAAGTCAAAAAGACGAATTGATTTTTTAGGTGATTGCTCGTTTAATGGTGACGACGATGATAAATAAACTAAAGCAACAAAAACAGAAAAATTTATTTAGCTCCATCTCTATGCTAGCCAACTCCATGCAACCCTTGCAGAAAAAGACACGTATAACACGTATGAACGCTTGCATAAAATCAAAAAGGTATATATATCTTAAGCAACTATAAAAAAAACTGATGGCAACATTTACTGGTAACCAAATTTGAAAATCTATATATAAACATTATCTTAAAATAAAAACAACTACCATTAGAGAGAACGAATTGAAATATCCAATCCAGAAATATTAACAATAACGAGACCTTTGGGCTCTAAAAGCTTACAAGAATTTGAATTTTCAGGTTTGTTTTAGTTTATTCACGTCGTGACGTGGAAACCCCATTTAATAAACGATCGGGTCAGATAATAGAATTTATAATTTTGTTAGTATTCAGCAGAGCAGAGTAGAAACCTTTCATACTAATAAACGGCTGTTTTAATGAATAACAGGTCAAGAACATGTCGGAAAAAATGTAAAGTGGTAGCTGTACGAACGCAAGTTAGATGATAAGCATTTATCAATCAACGTTTTCATTACCATTAGGGTTTCCAGTCAATTAATTTTAAAATAAATTTGATTACAACAGCTACACGATTTCATGGGTAAATAAACCTATCAGAAGAATTAAGTTATAGATAGGGTCGTGACAAGACGATTTTTTAAAAACTAGGCAAGACAAGGACTTGAGAGCTCAAGAACCAAGGCGAGCATGTCTCGAGACATCCGAGGACAAGACAAGCAATTCGAGACAAAACCGAGACGTCAAAATTTGACAAAATCAATGAGAATTTAAAAAAATCAGATTTGAGTTAGATTTGTATTACCTAAGTTTGAATATATATTTATTTACGTTACCTGCGTATGGTTGTATATATATTTGTGTATACACATGGAATCCTAGAACAAGGGTCAAGGAATTATATACGCGTGTACACATTTGCTTACACGTACTATATGCGTATTATATGCAAGATGATTTGAAGCGTGAAGAATTACGATTGTTTCGCTTGTACCATCTGGTTGATGAGACTATCTTGATTAAATCCAAATTACTTTGAAATTACCATTATCAGACATTAACACCAAGCACTGTGAATGAGATATTTGTTTTTCAAAATTTGTCAACATGTGGTGCATGAATGGATGCAAAATCACGTTGTTACCTATAATATATACAACTGTTCTAATATCTTTTTAATGTATGCTTATAGGACTTATAAAAAATGATTTAAAAAATAGAATATTAACAAAATAATTTCCTATTTGTGCCTTGATTTCAAGACGTATCAAGACAGTAAAAAAACAAGACCTAGACTGACATTGCTTTAAAACGAGACGAGACAAAGTCGAGTATAAAATTTTTACGTTTCGAGGCAAGATCAAGACAGTATAGACAGAACAGTCGAGATGTTGTCTCGAGACGTCACACCTCTGGCTATAGATCGTAGGAGAGTACCCAGCTTTTAGTCTCTCATATAAAATTTTAGAAAAAATACCATCCTTTAAAAAGATCCCATAATGACATTAAGTTGATCGCAGAAATTCGAACGTCTCTACCTTCCACCCCTTCAATACGCATATAGTAAACAAATTTATTGCACGAGAAAACGTGAAACGATCTTGTTCTTCTCAAACATGTCCATTTTTATATAAGTACTGACACATGTTTGCAGACAATTGCGGTTTATAGGAACATTTAAGGTAGCATAGTAGACTCATTCGTTTGAAATGACGAGTGACAAATTCTATCGCAGTTTTTGAGAAAATTTTTTGAATAAACATATTTTAGTAATTTTTTAATCATTCAGTTAAAGATTTGAAAATTAAGATTTGAATATTGTAATAATTAAATAGAATAATTCTCCTCCTTGATTGTAGCAATTAACATAAAAATAAAATTGAACAAATGAAAACCGAAAACAATTAAGTTTGAAAGAAGTTTATAAACTTTTAAATAACTTGAAAAAATTACGTTAAATGAAACTAGCACTCAAATTAACGAGTGAGTAAATAAATAGATAGCCGGTTGCAAACAAAATAGCAATAAGTTACCCAAACATCATATCTAATTAAATCAATAGTAGGACAATTATATTTAGTGACGCCTTTTAGCACAATGAATAATAAATAATAGCGAAAATTATAACACGGAAAAAGCACAAATATTCGAAAACTTAAAATTTGCAACAATAACTTACAATAAATTTGAAAAATTGCCTTCCACGTGACTGACCGTATCACCATCATACAAGCATTTCATCTCCAGTCCACACGCCGAATGCTGTATGTCGGAATGCTTTACGACAAGCACACGAGCATGATATATATATATATATATATATATATATATATATATATATATATATATTACAAAATAGCCTTCACAATATATATATATATATATACACCTCATATTTATCATCATCATTTGAAAAAGCAAGAGGACAAACATGACAAAGAGATAACCCATCGACAATCACTAAAAATAGAAACTTGAATGCATGCATAATGTGAATGCCCAGCACACATACAAAAACATTAATAAGCACACACGTACGCATACATATACAAACACACAGACACACACACGCTCACGATGTATACATAAAATAAAACAGAGTAATCAGCAATAAAATAATAATAGAGTACATAATACGATATATAAAACGGTACAGGGAAATAATAACATTGAACATATTTGAAAATCGTTAGTAATAGAGTACCGTTAATTAATAACAGACTGAGCAGCGCCTCGAAATAAAAAATATGGCAAACCAAAATAAACATAAACGCAATACTTGTTATAAATAATATATATATATATATATAACCTCAAAATTTATGCGCAAACATGCATGTAATCAACTTTATATCATGTTACATAACAAATTCTAAGTTAAACAAATTAATAGTATCAAAACATATATAAATATAATTATTGATAAAAATAACAACATGTTCCGCGATTGTTAACTTCCTGTTTAATTTTTCGATTTTTCTAACGGTAGATCGTAAATCATTGTCAAGTTTCTTGAGTTCCAAACTCAATTTTAAGCATGACAGAACATTTAAGCATGATAGAACAAAAAAGCTTTTTTCGGTATTCCTATACCATCTTCGGTGTTCGAATTGATACGTTGTATATGTGGCCAAACGTCTAAGTACAAGTCTACTGAGTCTCTATAATGTTAATTTTTTAATTCTTAAATTTTTCTTTTAATTCTTAAAACTTCACAATAATTGACCATCTGCCGCTGGAGAAATCGAAAAATTGAACAGTAAGTTAACTATGCGGAACATGCAGTGATTTTCATCAATTATTGCATTTCTGACAGTTTTAATCCAATATATATATATATATATACATATATATACGAACATATATTAATTAACGCAAATAACCCTAATGTAGCACTTGCATTTAGTTAAATAGATAGATTAGAATCTTGTTGGACTAACCTAGAGACCAAATAAGACATCCTAAACTTAGCTCATTATTGATGGTTAAATTACATAAGTGAATAATATTAATATTATCGGAATGTCATGGAAACGAGCAAGATCGTTCCAACAATCAGCCATACTACAAATGTTATTAATATGATTGAAAATTATTATGGTTATCAAAATAGAAGCTAATAGTTGAAAGGTTATATAATATACAAGAAAAGTAAAGCATAGATTTTTCTTTAAGAAACACTGCCAAATCAATGAGCAACGTTAAATAATAACATGCAAAGCGTCAGTCTGCTGATGTTAAGACCGCCATCATCGTCACCAACACACACCTCCACCAATGTAAATAATTTTTTAGAAATACAATGAAGTACTTATATGATGATATGTCGCTTATTTTATTAATAATTATGCACGGCATTCAGTCATAATGTTTTTTCCCGATTGCACGCATACGTGTACAGTACATATGATTGTTTGTATGTACGTTTGCGGGTACTATACGCAAGTACGTACGTATTATTGTAAGCCTTCAAACTATCAAACTTTTCATCAAAATAAGAATAATCCAACTAATTAGTAAAATGAAAGTCGAAATACGTACCAAACAATACACACATAATAGTAACACCAGCAAAAATGGAAACATACATTCATATATTAGATAAATTTGTATGCTCGCCAAATAAAAATTCGTAAACCGTTGATGAAATTATATATTATTATTTATGCTCAAATAAATACTACCCCAAAAACAATTCCAATATTTAAGTCATCCTCTTTTAATTTTACTATTTTCTTCTCTGTCAAGTATCAGATATAAAATCGAATTAAATAAAGAATTAATATATACATATATTAGTATATATATATACATATATATACACAAAAAATAAATGACCATACATTAATTTATAGTGACACACACAAAGAGATTCTGTATATGTATCTTTAAGTATTTTAAAACTTAAATTGTCCAATTATGCCAAATAACATTTAAAATTGACGTAACAATTAACATTTCAATGTGATTGAAATAATTGTTACTGAATTAAAATAATTTTTATTCAATTAAAATGATCGTTGCTGAATTAAAATAATTGTAGCTCAATTACTGATTAATCATCGATCCCAGGCAAGCAAAACCCAGAAGATTCCTAGCGAAGGAATCATTTGTTTAATGAACTTTATTGAAAGATTATATGCATAATATAAAAATCGAAAAAATAAAAGTGGATAAAATAAATATTAAATAAATAAATTAATTAATTAACAAAAATGAATAAATAAATTAAAAATTTAATAAAAAAGCAAACAAAATCAACCAGTAGGAAAATTATGGAAAAAGGTTTTTATTTAATACATATAAAAAAATCAGCTCAACTGGGCAGATATCATAGCTGAATATAACTGAACATGAGAAATGTTATGAACGAACGAACGAGCATAGAAACCAGTGAACGAACAAACAGACGGACAGACAAACAGTGACGGTACTTACAAGTTATATGTACAATGTTACAAACCATGGCTTGGTTTGACATCTTATATATATATATATATATACGTATATATATATACATACACAAATATAACAGTTACAAACTAATTATTTACGAAGTAACGGCATAGCTCGTTACTGTTAAGACTACTATAATAAATATATAAAAATACATTTATTAATTGGCGTTAGCCGACTGGGAATATATATATATATATATATATACATATACATATATATATATATATATATATATATATATATATATATATATATATATATATATATATGTTTATGTTTGGTAGAAAACCAAATTCCAGAAAATTTGTAATAAATTCTACCGATTTGTTAGTATTTATCAACTTATATTCAAACTTTTCAATATATATATATATATATATATATATATATATATATATATATATATACACACACACAATCATAGTAAACAATTATCTTAGCTAAATATATACATCTAAAATATATTTGCCCGTGTTGAAATTAAATAGTTTCTATAATACTAACTGCCCAATAATATAATTGAATAAACAATGAGTTAAATGGTGATCATTCGAAAAATGCTGTTCAGATTCATCTATCTATGCTATCAGTTAAGTTGTTTTCTCTATGAACCGCAATGTATAAATTGATGATGATAATGATAATAATAATAATAAAATAAATAATAATAATATTAATATGAATGCTGTCTAGTGGTGGCACGCCCTTTCTTGCCATTCAAACAATAAACGTGCAATAATCATTATTAAATCCCAATTCAAACGTCACTAATCTTAGAACACAACACACACACACGCGCGCGCGCACGCACGCACGCACGAACACACACATATATAATATTACTATTATATATACTATTATATTATTATATACTAGTAGTGGTTACATGGATTGTTAGAATGAGAAGTGTGTAATTCATTTAAAAGTAGAAGTGAGAACAAGTGGATGACAGAGTACACACAAGTCCGATGACAGCCGCAAGAATGTTAGAAGACAGGAATCTCCTATGTACAAGATAATAATGATAATATGTTGAGTACGTGCTGCAAGCAGTTCAGTACGATAAACGATGAATACAGAGAGATACAAAAAAAAGACAACTAAAAACAACAGATTCACAGGCACAGACATGTAGGTATGATTGCATGTAAATAGGCATTGCATATGTATCCATACACAAACATTTACACAGGTGTATGCATACATGTAACCAGGTACATGTAGAAGTTTACGTAGGTACAGAATACGCATGCACATCATTTGATTGCTATGAGGGCGAAAAACAATTATGCTATGTACATTTTAGTGGCAACAGATGCGAATGAGCGAGAGGCATGATGGATTGTTATAGCGGGCAAAAATGAAAAAGATACACTACAAAGGAGAGGAGGACGATGGCTTTAACGACGATCCCTTGACAGGGATGGCTACAAACTAATTTATTAAACCCTGTTAATTCGTTCGCTTTCTTTTCCCAACCAATTCATTTGCTAAATCGTCATGTTCCTCGCTTTGGCACGTGACGAGAGCATAATGCCTACACTTGGTCGGTGATGGCGGCGACAACACATTTCCTCAGTTGGAATTTGAGGTATAACAACGTTCTGTGAAAGAAATTAAGAGAAAGGAAGTGAGAGAGAGAGAGAGAGATGAACAAAAAGGAGGGGGTAAGAAAAAAGACAAAAGAAGGCAATGTATGAGCTATATCTATCAGAAAAATCTTTACTATTACATGAAAATTTTACTCCAAATGTTCATCGAGAAGGAGCTTCTGGAAGAAACCAACCAAAGATCCGCAAGTCCTAAAATACAGCAAATTAACAACTGCTAGATCTAACAAGGAAATGACTGTCAGTTTAGTAATACATGACATAAAAAAACAAACCCCCCCCATACACACATGTATAGTGTACACACATATAATTGCATACACAAAACGATGCCCGTACAAAGAAAGGGTCACATCAAAGGTTCGGCAAAGATAAAGTAAGAATCTGTTTTAATGAAATGTTGAAGAGCATCCAACATAACAGTGAAAGAACAAAATCACACACGTGTCAAAACTCCAAAGAAAATTTAAAACATGACACAAAAACAACATAAATCAAGACAATACACAAACAAACATAAAAGACACAATACAGGACAACAAAGATACACAAAACAACAGAAAAACAAAATGATGACATCTACAGGTGACAGGCGACAAACTGATCGTGTTAGCCTCCTACTACCAACAGACACATGCAGACAGATCCAGAATAGATGGCCGGCTAATAACTGCGTATTGTATGATATTAAACATGTGAATCGATACTGGATGGAAAGACGGACCACAACAATATAAAAGATGGCAGAGATGATGCAGCTGGAAATGCAAAAGATCAAATCACTTCACAACTTCAAATTCACACACCAGGTTAGAAATCAACGGTAGTTAAAATAAACCAAAAGTTTAGTCTTTCTTTCCTTGAAAAACCCACTCAGGCATAAAATTTAACGAGAGATATAGAAATGGAATAGGGTGAATGTTTCAGGTTTTGTTAGTCTAAAAGATAAAAATAATGAAAATAGAGGAAAATGATTGAATATATATATATATATATATATATATATATATATATATATATATATATATATATATATTTATATATTTATACATGGGCAATTTCTATAAATACTTTTTTACTCAATCTCAAAGCGAAAAGAATAAAGTTGTTTAAAATTTCAAGTATATCAATCTTAAAGGTAATATTAAGTGATTGTATTAATAAATTGCTGTCCTGGTTATGACATTAAACTGACCCTCACTGCCTTGTGAGTGATGTTGAATTATCAAAGGCTAGGCCCACCGCTTATAACTGTGGTTGCGTAAGGAAGGGCGTCCTGCGTAAAAATTAGCCAAATAAATTACTTATGATGACAGAAGTGACAATGGCCCTCAGTATCCGGCAGAATGGCGTCGAGAGGTATTTCGGTTTCGTCATAGGTAGCCAAGCGGCAACCCCCGATCTCGGGGAAAATGTCGTCTAAACGTGAGTTGTTGTTGTATTAATAAATTGCTGATGATAATCTGTGCCGATTCGACAACATCATCTTCATATCTTCATAGAAAGATTCGTATGGTGCTCTCCACAATAAATGTTCCTTCTTATGGAACAGTAAACAGACACACACAATGATTTTACGCATAACATACATAATGCATCACAAACACACGAAACAATGCAATCACATACAAACATTATATATATATATATATATATATATATATATATATATATATATATATATATATATACATACTTATTCTTACATTACTTACCGAGCTATAATAATAATATGAAAATATTGAACACAATTAAAATTTATCATAGCAACTTCTAGTAAAAGTAGGTTTAACTGTGCGAATACACTTGAATAAAATAATAAAAACAAAAATAATAAAAACAAAAATAATAAATTAAAAATAATTAATAATAACAATAATAATAATAACAACAATAAAATAATAAAAGTAATAACATAATTATCCTAAAATTCAACCAGTAAATTAATTAACGAATGTATCAGCGAAATAATTGATAATGATGATGGGAGGATGATTGTTGTTAGGATAGACCACTCCTTTAATATCCAGAAAGAAATAAGTGCAATTATTATTATTATAAGCAATTTATTTTTTAAAAGGGTCAGTGATTGGATTATAAATAAATAAACAATAAAGTAAACAGTAAGCACGCACACACACACACACACGCACACGCAGAACATCAAAATACATGAACTCAACAACACTCCATCTATCCATCTCGGCTTCAACCACGAATTCATACCATGCGGTAGGTAACACAACAGAGGCGAACATCAACCTTAATCATAATACAAAAATTGACAACTTATTATTCCAATAAAAACATGTTTATCCTGGAAGAAATGTATGTGTGCGTGATATATATATATATATCACGCACACATACACATATATATATATATGTGTGTATATATATACACATTTAGTATGTATGTACGTATGCATGTACGTACTAAGGATGTATGTACGTATGTATGTATGTATGTATGTATGTATGTATGTATGTATGTACCCGTGTTTGAGTTATTGTATGTAATTAAACCTTGAAAGTAAACATTCATCAAACAAATTTGGTTGAATATTTTCATGACAAGGGATACCAATTGAATGACCTGCATAGTGTATGTCGCATTGTGTGTTGGTTTTCCATGTCTGTATGTGCCCGTGTGTGCACGATGGTATTAAATGGACATACATGTGATGTGATAAGTATATATATATATATATATATATATATATATATATATATATATAGATTATTTATATACATAGTTTATAAAAGTATAACCAAAAGTCAGAACTGGAGAGGCAGATGATGCAATTGAATAATAAATGTTGCCAACTAGATAATATGGATAAAAGAAGAAGATATATATTAACTAAGCAAAGATAAGCAATTTAAAAATATTTGTACTAAACATATAATTTATGCATGTGAGTAATTATGTGTATATTATGTATAAAACACACACACACACACAAATAATTTAATATACATACAAAATACATTATCCATTAATGCATATACACATACATATACAAACATGCATGGACATGGTAACTTAAAAAAAAACCAAAAACATACAAATTCTAAAAGGATTAATAAGAAAAACTAAAAAAAAAAATTATATATATATATATATATATATATATATACACACACGAATTTATATATACTACGCAAATTTTAATTTGCTATATATATATATATATATATATATATATATATATATATATATATATATAAACATATAATCAATCAATCTATTTAATCAATACATACACATATAAACAGTAAATAAGTAACGTCTGACTTAATGAAACTTAATTTACTTATAAGTATAATAAATAGAAACACATAAATCAATAAGAACTTTCAGGTTTAACTTAGAATAAAGATCTAAACGTGGTTATTTTGGCCAGCATCATACTGCTGTCCAGTCGTGAACCTTTCGAATTTCCTCGCCGATGGTGTGTCGACCAATGATGTACTGTCGCGATCGCCACGTTAACGTTCGCACGGTGTGGGCTCGCAGCATTAGTAGTAGCGATGTGCACTCTCGAAACAACCAACCTGCCACGAAGTCTATTCGAGAGAATGGCAAGTTGCAGCCCTGTCGGGTGTCAAATATTTTTATCAATGTATGTATCATACAAGGTTGAGGAGTGTTTGTGTGTCGTACGTCATCATAAACGTGCTTGTTTAAATGTTTGTATTAAGATGTGTATCTGACTATTTGAGTGTGTTTACACGCATGTATGTCCTGTACATACTCGAGTAGTTGACTAAATGTTCAAGATTTTGCGCAAATGTATGGACTAGAATTGTACATTACAATCGTTCATATGATGGATGTGTTTGCTTAATAAACAATGTCAGAGTATGAAATTCGTATGGCTTGTAAGTTCTGGGTTGGTATGCTTTCATTCGCATGACTGCATACAATCAAATGCCTCCATTAATAGATTGCATCTTGAGATCATGAAAAGATATCTTTCATTACATATAAGCATCTTGTTCAGCGATATTCAAGATGTACAACACATGCATAGGCAGACACACATACTCACATACGTATAGACGCAACATACATCAGGCCCTGCAATGAGGTTATGTTAGAAACTGAGCGTGGTGGCTAGTAAAAAATATGCTTACTTAACTCGGATCTACCTAGTGTAAAAACCAAAGATTCGTGAGGCATAATAGTTTTAGTAAGTGTTTTATTGAACAGTTTGACAGCAGGACCAACTTTTGTTGGGCTATTATTTTTCCTGAAGTTTGTCTCATAACATTATAAGTTTTTTTTATTGGAATTTCAAATTTCATAACATTTCAGCACTGCACGTGCACAAATGCAAGTAAAGAAGGTTGTAGTGTCAATGAAGCGTTATTTAACGCTAAACATACATTAACCCAGTATGTAATAGTACCTCTGCCTGTCTCAAGCAAAAAATTATTCTCTCTGACACTAGAATATATTCTCACAGACTTATTAATTAAATGATGAAAATGTGTTGACTGAAATAATAAAATTGCAATGATTGTAAAAATTAGCAACAATGTTTTTCAATTATGTAATATATTGCCAGGTTTATTAGCAACTTAAATAAAACCGTGAGTAAAAACAAAAGACCAGCAAAACGAGACAAACCTGTATAGTCAGTAGAAGTGTGTAGTCTAATAGGAACCAAATTAATGTATGAACCAGAAAAAATGCTATAGGACTCCACATGAAGAGCCGACAAACGGCCCAGCTGGAAATGAGACCCAGGAGCAACCATTCTGATAACGGCTCCATGATGATGGTCATCGGAACCAGAAATGAACGCAACTTTATCCACCTTGTGATTAGATGAAAATAATGTTTGCATTTATTTACAATGTTTACAACGTTTATTTGTTTTTAACATTATCAATAGGAATTAAATCTTTAAACAACTTGGATATAAAACTTTACCTATCTAGATAAAGTTAAAATTCATTAATCATGGATAGATGCTATAGAAAAAAAGGGAATATAATTATATGGCAAACATTCTTTCAGAAAACAAGTCAATCTGACAGTAGAATAACAAAGTTTTTTAATAAGTCGTTTGCAAATTCATCAGACCAATGAAAAAATATATCGTCATTTAGCAGAGCCTGATATGGGCTTACCACAGATCAAATCTTATTATGTGCATACGTTGGTTAGCCCATTTGAAGAGTAATTATTGAAAGAGGCAGTCAGTCAGTCAGTAATGACAAACAGTTCAATACTTCCATTCAAAATGAAAAAGAAAGAAATCAATATCTTAGCTGAGGGGCAACAATGAAGCTTCTGCCTGCACACAGGAATAACAAAAACGCTTCTTTGCAATAAGCAAAAACCTCAAACATACTAAACAACAACAACAACAACAACAACAACTACTACTACTACTACTACTACTACTACCACTAATGGTTGTAGTTGAAAATGGGAAACCGCACCATATAAATCTGAAATCTCAGTTGGCATCGAAAATTATGACACTATATAAATCCCCACATCAGCCTCATATAAGTCTGCTTGTAAGCATTAACTTACATAAAATTATTTATCAAATATTATTAAAATATTATTTCTGACAATCATTTGTCTTGGTATTGAAATTAACGTTAATAATAACTATAATAACAATAATAATAAACCGACGAAATTAACAAATTTATCAATTGGCATTTTCGGATCATAGGGATAAATAGAAAGAAAAAGACTGACTGACCTAATCATTCGATTTTGAAATGTTCCTATGGAGTATGTGCCTGAGTTCTGTAGGGCAGGTTGTGTGGAGACCTTCACCTTCCAGCCACTGTTACACGAACAATTATAAAAACATCTATTAATAACCAACAACAACAACAACAATCCCATCAGCAGTAATAATAGTAAGAAATCACGATCACAACAACAAGAACAACAACAAACAGTGATCATAAAAGGCAATTAATACGCCACAAAAATAATTGAATAAATTTATGAAAACCTAATTCCCTTTCACCTATAGTTCTTCATGGAGAAGAGAATGAATTAATTCAATAGTCACGTAACTGAATAACAAAACATAGAATGCAATGCAACAACGCCTGTCATATGGAAGTATTTACCAACACTGCATTGCATCTCTTATTCTCTGCTTCACATGATGCAAATAAAAAGCATAAAAATGTCAAAACAACGTTTAACACAAACTGCTTGCATATGCATATGGTGCACTTTGAAAATTTTTATTAAAACAAACTTCTTCTAGTTTTTATAGAGATGTTGACGTAATATATTGTTTGATAAGACTTAAATTCAATTACGAGATGTATATGATGGATATATATATATTTAATATGAATCTTATAGTTTGATGTTCAGCGGTGAATTCAAAGCTGAACTCAAAACAGCTAGCAAAATTTAAAAAATATTTAACAATAAAAGTACAAGTCCAACAACCAAAAATGTGACTGGAAAACAGCGAGCAGAAAAACATAAAATGTAATAAAAACTCTAAACGTATGCATCAAAAATCCCAAAGATCAACATGTCAACCTCTTCAGTATCGTCTGAGCAATTGATCAAAATCAAGAATTTATAACTAACAATTCAACATCAGTTGATCAGCCGTCGCAGGTACTGGTTATAAAACATCATACACGTGCATAAACCTTAAAATACACAAAGCAATGCCACCATGCATAACCTTATCATGCTTAACACAATCTGAACATACATAGCAGAAAACATGCACATGTCACTAGCCTGGTAAGAAACATTTGGGATAGATAGTAGTCTTCGGCAAGATAGATACCCAACGATTCAAAGCCACCCGATTGCTCAACCACACTCTTTCTGAAGAGGCAAGACATACCTGTAACACAGTTGACTCCCACCATGTTTGCCAGTAGATAGATCTTGCTGTGTTGCGTGCCAAAATAAACCTGCATAGAACATGGGAGTTGTGAAATTCAATTGAGAACTAGCAGTTTTAAATAATTTAACATAGAAATTAAACTATTATAAAATTAATTTTATCTGTTGTATTGGTCTTAAATTGAGAATTATATTTAATGAACATAAAAAAATGATAAATTTTAATGTAATGCCTGTGACTTAATGATGGATGTTCAAACATGGAATAACCTCACAAATTGTTAATTAAGAAAACAACAACTTTATGTAACTCTCCTTCACTTAATTAATGGCATTAATGAACTGTATTGTGATTGAGATGCCATGCATTAACATTCAGAAAGTAGTGAAGTAATTGCATCTCTGGAATACATTAAGAAGCAGTGCAAGTGCAAATTTTAAGTTCATCTTCCTAAATAGTGAATAATTATTCTGTAATTTCTATTAAATCAGGAATTTATAATGAGAAGGAAAACTATAATATACCCATTGAATACATTAAGAAACTGGTATGCGCATATTTGTGTGATGAAACTTATTTACAATATTCAATAAAAAAAATCTCATGAAATAGCTTGTAAAATATTACCAGAAATATATTTATAAATTTTTACAAAACAAGTCAAACACATAGCCAAATTGATACAGGCATACACTTACACTGGCATATACTAATTGACTTTAATTATATCACTTATAAAAACGCAAATCGATCATGAAGTATCAGACCAAACAAACCAATGAGAGCAAAGCAAACATAATATTTGCAGAAGACAACAACTCTGCTTTAATGTAGTCTCAAGCGAAAAATTTCATCTCTGACAAGTCATCAAACAGTGCATGAAATTAGTTAGCACAAATTAAATTACAAATACTTAATTTGTGGAAAACAACAACAACAATAAACAAATCAAGTTAACAAATGTACATTTCATGGAATGTGTAGATTGAAACACTGCTAAACAAACATATCGAAACATATTTTGTTGCTGGCATTGATTCAGTTTTATGCATACAATTTCGTCGAGGGCTCCAATACATATTTTATTGAACCAGAGCATGAATAATTTATTAAATAAGTTTTTATACAATATTTCCAGCATTTCTAGGTCTGCAGGCTTTTCCTTTCAAATACTGCGTCTACAATTATGGTTTTTTCCATGCCATTCAAAGGATTGGATAGTAGACGTGTAATTTCCAAAGCAACAGGAGTGATGAAAATATATTGTTTAACAAATTGTCCGACATGTGCAGTGTTTTTCTTTTAGTTAGTCTGCTAAAACAAATATTAAACCATAGGTTGTGCTGTTTCTCTGTGCTAAGCTGTCAATTAATAAGAAAAAATAAACCAACAAAGTCATCAGACCTCTGATAAAAATAATATTTATTTAATAATTGATTTTTAATATTGAAA